TATTTAGCAATTTAAACCTTCTGAACTTAACGGTTTGCAATTTCTCGTTTTCTCAAGGTCAAGTCGGTGTCAATTGTTCAAAAGCGACAAATGACGCTTATTTTGCAGAAAATGCGTTCTAGACAGGTTTTCTGTACTGCTTCTGTTAGTTTAATCATTCTAATGTGCATTGATATTTGTATAATGTCTTTTCACGGTCAGGTGAAGCAAGATAATCAGGTCAAGCCTTGATTTGTGTTGTCAGACAAGACCATTTAAAGGATCATTATTGTAAGCTTAATGGTGCATCTTCAACAGGTATAGAAGGGGTTTCTAACGCTGTTTTACCAGCTGCCGTGACTTGTTAAGTTATTGATACAGACCAACGGGCCGATGTGACAGCAGCCTTCGTTCTTTTGGCATGACATGGTATGCCTTAGGTCCCACCTGTCGATGTCCACTGGTTCAGTTGGATTGAGTCTTCCAGGATATATTCAATGCGTTTGGGACATGTGGGGCGGGCAGTTCGACAATGCGGGGCAATGGTGACACAAAAAAGCCCTTAGGGCGGGGTTCAAACACTAAATGCGAGTGTGCGCACACACATGAATAAAATAACATCGCAGAGATGCTTCAAGGTAATGACGGATTTTGAGGAATTATCGAAACGTAAATTTAGATTTACATTGATATGGTAGGATTTCAATACCAACGGACCCCAATGATGAACCAATTCTATTAGGTAGAAGTACGCCTGAAGTTATGCACGCACTTGTGCTATGTGCCGGGTATCAAATAAGAGAATGACTTGGGAAAGCGTCCTTGAGGAGAAGAGTCAACTTTCCTCGGTAGAACTTAATGTGGCGGCTCAGTAATTAACGCGAGATACTCGGTAGAACACAGGCATTTGGTGAGACGAGTTGATCTAGGGTCTGTGCGTGACTTCCCAACAAGCCCGGACGAACAGTATCCAGTTCTACTTGGCGCTTTGTCTCTACTGGAGAAATTCTCGCTGCGCTCTTGCACCGCGAGATTTACATCACTACCTGACCGGAAAACTACCACAGGGAGGTATGACTTGCTTATGGTAAAGATCTTTATGGAACCCCGCATCGCTCACGTTTTGGGTATACAACGCAGCTCCATTACATCCGATCTATCCTCCCCCCCCCCCCCCGCCATCCCAACAACCAGTCACGTGGCACGGAGGCCGTTCTCAACCCCGCAAAGTTCGCGACGCTCAGCTCATTCTCTCCGGACGTTATCGTGAGCACTGCATGCTAAGGCATGCCGCCGTCAACACACTAGGATCGACTAATGCTTGTTCGGCGGGCGGCCTGGAACACCATCAATCATTGCCACAAATACACGGGGTAATCTTACTTATGATGCTGTTATCCTGTTCAGAGCGGCAAGATCTTCCCGACATGTAAGTTCAGCGGTCGGGGACACGACATTTTCGCCGGATAAATACTGATGAAAGTAAGTGTTCATATGTTAGTTAAAGAGACCTGGTACGCCCGAAATATTTTTTTGATATTGCGTTTCCCAAAAGGAATAGACAATTACGGTACCAAAGACCAGCTTTCTAATCCCAACAGCCACCAGACGGCTAAACATTGCCGCAAATATGCTTTTCTACACCTGTAACGTTGCGGGATCAAACACTGCCGTGACCGAGATTACCACCACCGCTTACCGTAGCCCACGTAAAGGCTACGTTTGATGCAGCCAGAACTCTGCAGCATTATTGTAGTTTAAAGAGCGGAACCCTAGCATTATATATGCGCCACAACTATTCGGCGTAGGGACAGAAAAGAGAAGATCGTAACTTTAGAGGATCGGCCAAAAATTTGTCATATTTTGCCCCTCCTTGTAATGGCGGGGCATCTAGTCAACTCCAACAAATCCTGAACAACTGAAACAATGACGTGTCTACGTTTTCTTTTCGGTGGTGACGCTATGGGATAAAACACCGTCACGATAGAACGTCCGCCACCCCCTCTGCGTGCTTGCCTCTCTTTGAGGCCATGCTGCATTTAAAACTCTGCAAAACTAACACAGCGTCATGAGACTGAAAAGTTCTGGTAACAAGAAACCACATGAGCTACGGAATCATGCCGCAGCGTATTATGCACTCACAATTTGGATTCTCCGGGAGGCACCCCTTTCAGACTGAAAATAATCACTACAAGCAAAAGCCATTTCGTTAAAGCCGAAGACGACACGACGCAAGAATGAACAAGGAACTGCAATGTAGCATCGCTTGAGGCGCCTCTCACCCGGCCCGGTGCTGCCCGAGAGGCTGCCGGCGGCTGCGGCCGGCGGCAACGGGAGGGGCCGACTGCGCCGGAGTAGCGGGGCGGCGAAGCACGGCGGCTAGCGCACGGCACGGGGGCGGGGAAGGTCACGTTGTGGAGCACGTCTGGGTGGCCGGCGGCTGCGGCCGGCGCCAACGGATGGGGGCCGACTGTGCCGGAGCCGCGGCGAGGCTGAGCACGGCGGCCAGCGCCCGGCACGGGGGCAGGGAAGGTCACGTTGTGGGGCAAGTCTCGGTGGCCGGCGGCTGCCGCCGGCGGCAACGGGAGGGGCCGAGTATGCCGGAGTAGCGGGGCAGCGAAGCACGGCGGCCAGCGCCCGGAGCGGGGGCAGGGAAGGTCACGTTGTGGGGCACGTCTGGGTGGCCGGCGGCTGCGGCCGGCGGCAACGGGAGGGGGCCGACTGCGCCGGAGTAGCGGGGCGGCGAAGCACGGCGGCCAGCGCCCGGCACGGGAGCAGGGAGGGTCACGCTGTGGGGCACGTCTGGGTGGCCGGCGGCAGGGCGTTTCCCGCACGGTGCCGCGTTGGCTCGGCCTGTGGCTTTCGCACGGACCAGCCCCACGACATGCCACGCGATTTGGAAGTGGATAAGAGGCCTGCCACGAGCCTCTCCACGAAACCGTTTCTTTTTAAGACTCCGAGCAAATAAACAACGTAAGTTTGGCCGTGCACCAAGCGATGAAGCGAACTGAGGCTTCGGGCGTCTGTTCTGGGAGCGGCTCGTCGGCATCTGATGGTAGCGGATGCGTGCCGCGTCTTACTGACGCCGTAACCAGTGGTCGAGCTCGAGCTCCATATGCCCTCATAATCCCCTCGCTTGCCTGTACCGGATGCCGAGCGCATACCCACGAGCATTCGTGGCCGCGCCATAAATGCGGTTGGCGATGCTACAGTCCAAGTGTGAGGAATTTGTAGCTCGATTTCTTGGGATAGGGTAATGCGCAAATCTACCTCGCCCAACCGAATGCAAAGGAGCCGAATGCAAAGGAAACAAATGTAGCGTCAAGGCTTGCACGCTTGCTCATTACCTAATGCAAGTTTATCATTGCATCTGACGCCGCTTTACCTGCCCTTGCTTAGCTGAATACAACGTACACGAAGGCATCCTGGCCTGGAAGCGTGCTGGCTGGGTGCCATTCTGTTGGATTGAGCGAATCTTCCCTTTGGATAATGAAATTTTAATTGCCTTTCGATATGAAGAATTAGTTACGAGCGAGATCGCAGCTCTAACCTCACCTGAGGCGAGTGAATGAATCAATGGGTGAATGAGTGGGTAAGCGAATAAGCGGGTGAGTGCGTGATTGAGTGAGCGAACGAGTGAGCGTACAAGTCTTACAAGATTTTTCGCTTACTGAGTTTGTAGCTTGAGCAGCCCTACCGGCCCTAACCTATCCAGAAACGTTCAAAAATCGTAGGTACGAGAACAAGGATCTTTCCAGCCACTGATTGTAATTTCATACAATTTTCCTCTTCAGAAAACGCAGTTCCGTAACGTTGCCGACTGCATGAACTGTTGGACATGGCGTGCAAGCTGTTTGATGGCCGTCTTTTCCTGCCGCATTGAATACCACCACAATTTGCGATGCTAAGGTCACAGGCGACCGCAACACCGCCCAGTGTACCAAATTACCCAGGAAAAATGCAAAATTGCCAAATGGCAAGAAAGCGGATCGACACCGAGTGCATATCTCAGCAGCCCGACGCCGCAACATGAGGCTTATTCAACTGACGGTGGAAAAAACGGACAACCATGCGGGAAAAGTTCAATGTGAGCAGGCAGCTATACGCTCTTCTGTGCAAGTCATGGACACGACAGTTCTGGGTCTTTTTAGGGGTTCATGTCAGATATCAGCAGCCAAATCAGATGACGACGTGAAACTCAGTGCACGATGTGGGCGAAGGTACCAGCTACATGTCTGTAACGGATCTCGGAACTGTCCGCGTCATCGGCGCGCTGGTAACGAGCCAGCGATCGGATAGTCTCCCCCATCCGAAACCCATTTGGAATACTAGACCTCACGGCCCATGCGGAGGGAGATTGACAGGGAGGGAGGTTATGACAATGTCACAGACGTCCCTTCCTAGTGTGACCAGTCATTTATTTCACAGTCTAAAATTAGTGAGCCTGACTGAGACTCGAAGCCGGCCATTTTGCAAAACAAAGTTACTGAGAATTAGCACGCAAATGCTACAACCGTGGCATTCCGCCCGTTAAATTATCGTGACAATTAGGCTCCAGTGCACTGATCAAACCCATTCATCCCGGTTACTGCAGGCGTCTGGCTCTGTCGGCTACGTTTCTGGCACCACCCACACGATACAAATTGGTGTCCACCACGTTAGTTATGGCCTTGCTCCACCCCCGCCGCACTAGGTGCCTTGCTTAATATATTCAGGCCTCTGACTGTGACGCGGCATGAATCCGCAAACAATAGTAAAGTAGCGGGGATCAGGCTTCAATTTTGGGGGGAGAGGGTGGGGGTACCATCATAATGAACATCTCAAGGGGGGGGGGGGGGCGGCAATAATCCCTCCAGTTATCACGACGAATGGCGAACACCGTGTCTATATCTCCGCTCGAAGCCACGACTTATCACATCGTCGTCGCGGGCGAACCATCCACATCTACGTTAGGGCGTCCCCAGACTTCGGTGTTGTCGTTACCAAAATACATCGAGACCATCTCGAGCAAAAAGCAGAGAAAGAATCACGACCGCAGTGGTCCCATTTATTTCAATCAAAGATGATCAACATTAGCAAGCTTATGATTCACCATAAGGCAATAACCAGAACCGCGCCCCATATCACCAGAAGATCCCCGTCGCCATGCGACCCATCACTGCCGGCTAAGCAACGGCGCGCTGTAAAACGACATAATCGCATGGCACATCCTTCTGTCTCGAGGCACGAGCACGGGGCGACACCGCAGGCACCGCTGATCCGGCGTGGAATGTCGCCCGGCCGTCCAGCGGCGCCGCATCACTCCTTGATCTGGGACACCTCGTTCATGTACGAGCCGAGCACCTTAATCTGCCGGACCGCATGGAAGGGTGTCAGTGGCCGAGCGAGTCAAAGCGCCACCCCAGGCGGCGGGACGCGACGTACTGCGACCCGCGCACCCTTAAACACCAAATCACCACCATCACGTACTGCGGCCGGCGCCAGTGAGGGCTCCGACAACGCCTTCAGACAACAGCCGCAGTGTTGAGGTCGGTGATGAGGAGAGACATAGCTGCAGACGCTTGTCTATGTGCGCATACGATAGGTGGTTGGCTTGGCCGCAGGTAGCCGTCACACCTGCCGTTCAAGGCTCGCTGCCATACACCCGGGCAGGTGAAACTGCTGGTTATCAGGCAGAATTTGGCCCTACCACGCCCACCCGTCATACGCCAAAGGCTGCGGACAGTAATCACCACCACTAACGCCCGTTTGACATCAACTTTATGCCAAACGCAGCTGCAAACAACCAAATCGTGTAAGGAGGGCGTTTCAGCGACCCCACAAGCCAGCGGACCCGCCCACTGCGAAGCTCGCCCCGGCGGTGCCGCGCGAGACCCGCTCAGAGCCACCGGTGGTCCTACTCACGCCCTGGATGTAGTTGCGGATGTTGATCTTCTCGTTCTGCGAGTGGGCGCCGTCGTCGCACGCCCCCACCGGCAGCAGCATCACGTTCTTACCGGTGACCTCCTGCGCGCAGACGGCCGTGGCCGGTCAAGGTCACAGCCATGCACGCTCACACACGCGGACGAGAGCTCGGAGGTAAACGAGAAACCGACACGCGTTGCACTCGACGAGTATTGACGTAACCTTCCCAGCAACCATTCTACAAGCGCGAGAAGCTAGCGCACAAACGTAACACTTTCGACGTGGAAAATGGTAACTTTCGCTTGACAACAAAACTTCAAGCTTGACTTCAAGAACATTTTACTGGCAGCACACATAACAGCTGCACCGCGTCCATTTTCCTTCACAGAAAAAAAAAACACGACACGCTTCTGTCATATACTTGAACAGTATAACGGGCAGCCCATTAGTACTACAGCCATCCCGCTCAGGCACGATAACAACACAAACATGCAATTATCATCCACGGCTCTCGTGCCAGGCCACTCCCACCATCACGCTCCCCAATAACAAAACTGACCGTCACACGCACAACGCACACCCGCACGTGCGCCCGAGCACACGCAGGCGCACCCGACCCGCCGCCAGCGTCGGCACGCGCACCTGGAATGTCAGGGTGACGGGGATGCTGCCACCCTCGCGGGTCAGGTCGGGCATGACGCCGAACACCGACTTCATGGCCCTGGCGCCGGCCTGGAAGTGCGGGTGGTGCGGGTCTGTCACCCAGCAGCGGCCGCCGTGGAACATGTACGCCTGCCGGAGGAGGTGGCGGGGTCAGACCGATGCCGGCACCGTGGCCGACCGCGGCGCGCGGAGACAACGGGAACGACGCGACGGTCAGGGCCGAGAGCCAACCAGACCATCCCTGGTCAACTGGTGATTAGTTTCTGGGGGGGGGGGGGGGGGGCGACCCTGCGATCTGCGACGCTTTTTCGCCCTCCAGAAGCTGCATATATAAGCTGCAATATGAGATGAAGAGCTCAGGACACATTATATGCACCAGGAAAGTTAAGTATTTAGGGGGACATATAACCCACTAAATATCATACATTTGTCAGCGATATCACGAGCGCAGACCTGCTGCTTTCATCTTTAATTTGGATGTCTGCAACGTCTGGGATAACAGATGGGAGTTCACAAAGAGTTCGACCTTTTATAACTTCATGGCATTACATTTACACGTTAGGCAAGCGTGCTCCGTGGGCTGCATGGTCCCAACAGGTGACTTAATGTCCATTCCCAATTGACCCCCCCCCCCCCCCTCCGAGGAAAACTTTGTTTCAGGTAACTTCAATCTCAGCATATTAACTCATATAAAGATGAGCTTAAGACCATGCATCCACCTCAAAACGCAACACGAACTGCGATAACACTGCAGCCACCGCAGCCAGTCCCGCGCGCGCACCTTCATTTCGTTGGGACTGCCGCGCTTGCTCCACTGCTTGTTCAGGTAGTCGACCACACACTTCTCCACCGACTCCGGGGTCTGGTTGGGCACGATGCGGATCGAGAACTTGCCCGTCACCTTCATAGGGATCACGGTCTTGGCACCCGTCTCCGAGAACGCGCCGTGGATGCCGTGCAGCGACAGCGACGGGTGGCGCCACCTGTGCATCAGTGTCTCCGCCTACCGACAGATGGCAGCACATGTTAGAAGCCTGCAGCCACTCGGCGACCAATCAGCCGCGTTGTCCATAATTAATGCAATGTAGCGCATCACCGGAACTAATTGATGGAGTTCGAAATCAGACCGGGGAAGTGGAGTGTGTGTCAACACAGGGCAAGGCCGGGGAAGCAGATTTACTCCAGCATTTGGGCTTTGGGGCATGCCAAATGCATTGGTCGAAATGACGCCCATAAGCAGGTGTATTCACCCTACCCTCAAACGGGACTTAGTTGCGACATGAAAACACAAAGCCCATTCAGCAGGAGGATGAATGGGATTTCAAATGCATGGACCCCAAAGCCCTGGCACATATCAGCCAACCGCACGAGAGCTCCGCGCCATCTCGTCCGCTACCGCAGCGCGCGCGGTGATTACCTTATCGCCCTTGTGAATGCAGCGCTTGGCGCCGATGTCCTTGCGGTAGTCCTCCGGGTCAAAGTCGATGTTCTTGTAGAGCGCGCGCTCCTCCGCCGTCAGCGGCGTCACCTGGTCGTAGATGCCGTCCACCAGGATCTTGCCGTTGACGTCCATCAGCGTGTTCATCAGGTATATGACGTCGCCCATCGCCTCGTGCCTGTCGGGCGCAGGCAGGCGGGGCTCGTGGAGCAAGCGACGGGCGCCAGGTCACGCCACACGGCTGCAGACTATCGCGCATCACGTTGATGACGATCACGCATCACGACGTTGATGGGCGAATCAATGGAAATGGGAAAGATATGGCCTCTAAACATCTTGCAGGTTTCACAATAAGGCTATTGCCCGATACGCACCGCGCATGAAATTCGCAATCAACATAATTCACCGAGAGCCGAAACGTGGAAATACCTCTGACCGTGGCCGTATCGACATTCGCCCCCAAGTCATACGACGGAGAATAAATCAATCAGCAGGTCAAGTTCCAGGTGCAGGCGTGATCACTCGGCATTTGTTCTATTAACAGATGGCCGCTTCATGCTGGGACAAAAGGGCTATGGACATATTTCCCTTACCCTGATAAATGACTGACGGCAAGCCAAGACGTATTGCCATTCGACCACTCACGCTCTATTTCTAAGTGTTTGTGCTCGTGAACACATTCTCGAACGCTCCTACTAGGGAGGGGAGGGGTGGGGGGGGGGGGAGGAGGTACCGGACCACCGTTAAGTATATGACTGCGTGACCCATTACGGCCGGCATCTTATCTGTTGACCAAGATATAATCCTTCAGCATTTGTCCCAAGATGAGCTAATCTGCTTACTTACACGGTCCCTCCGAAGACGCCGCTGTGCAGATCCTGCTTGGCACACTGAACCTCGATGAAGAAGTAGCACACGCCGCGCAGGCCGTAGGTGATGCAGGGCTTCTCCTTGCCCAGCCAGTAGTTGTCCGAGATGCAGACGTAGTCGACGCCCTTCAGGAACTTGTCCTTCTCGGCGGCCAGCAGCTCGTCCAGGCCCTCCGAGCCCGACTCCTCCATGCCCTCAAACACGAACTGCGCGGCGGGGAGCGGGAGCCGTGAAACGGGACTGCCCCTGACGCGAGGGCCCACACTGGCGAGGGGGGACGGGGTTGTGTCGCTGAACTGGGCAGATCAAGCCCCCCCCCCCCCACGCGTCTCCGGGGACGAAGACAGCAGACCAGTGGAGCCCAACTCATGCATGCCATTAAACACATCTTGGGCAAGTTCCAGTTATGCAAAGAGACTGCTCTGCTCTCTCTCCCTGTACTCTCTCTCTCTCCCTGTCTGCTCTCCCTGTACTTCAGCTCCCCTGGCATCGCTGGAAACACCAGCACAATGAGGATCCCATTAGGTGTCCCTCTTACACAGTCACTCCCTCATGACCCGCCACCCAGGGACCGCCGCAGATCTCCTTCGGCACGGGAAGTGGAGTGCAAATGTTGGTAACGGGTTCCATCAACGTCATGCCGCCGAGCGGTAAGGGCGATTATCTGGCACTCCCGCATCCACCACTGCAGCGAAGACTGAGGGCGACACCCAGTCGACCCGCGGCTAGACTCTCTGCTGCCCGACCATTCGACAGACGCCCCCCCCCCCCCCCTGGCGGCAACGGCGAGGTCACCTTGATATTGATGGGCAGCTTCTGCTTGGTGGCCTGGAGCGCCTCGATAGCGTGCAGCCAGCAGAGCACGGGTCCCTTGTCGTCGGTGGAACCGCGGCCGAACAGCTGACCGTCCTTCTCGATCAGCTGGAACGGCTCCGTGTTCCAGCCGTCCTCGCGCAGCGCCGGCTGCACGTCCAGGTGGCCGTACACGCAGAGCGTGCGCTGCGCCGGGTCCGAGCCCAGCTGGCCCAGCAGCACCGGCGGCAGCGGCAGAGACTCGCCTGACGGCAGCTCCTGCCGGCCGCATGGAGCAGCGACGTCAGCGGGAAGGCACGAGCGTACGTACATTCCATACCGCAGCATCAAACATGTGTCCTCGTGCTCCACAGCGTGAGCCGTTAGTTCATCGCAGTGGTGTTTCCAATGAAATCGACACGCGTTCAATCGCAGTGATGATCTGCAATCTGCTCATCAAATCCACCGGAGCACTCATGTTGATACGGCGATAAGATACAGAAGTCCTTTTCCGTGGACGGTTTACGTCCGTGTGCGGGTTTGGTGACCGCGCCTTTCCTTCCGGACGGCGGGCCGCCGTCTGTGACCTCTGACCCCGCTCGGCGCTGCCCAGTCCGTAGGACAGCGGCCCTGGGTCCACCGGAGCTGGACGGCGGTAAGAGGCGGCCCGTCCACAAGTGGTCCGCTGTCCGGCCGGGCGATAGCCCCACTCTACCGCGCCTGACCGGGGCGGCGACGGCGAAGAGCGATGCAAACATCCTGATACGGTCTATCTCGGCGCCCAGCCGAGCCGTTCCCTGCACGGAACAGCATCGGCCGGCCGCTGCACGGAACAGCACCGGCCGGCCGCTGCATGGAACAGCGCCAGCCAGCCGCTGCACGGAACAGCGCCAGCCGGCCATTGCACGGAACAGCGCCAGCTGCCCGCTGCATGCAACAGCGCCAGCCAGCCGCTGTATGGAACAGCGCCAGCCGGCCGCTGCATGGAACAGCGCCAGCCGGCCGCTACACGGAACAGCGCCAGCCAGCCGCAGCACGGAACAGCGCCAGCCAGCCGCTGCACGGAACAGCGCCAGCTGCCTGCTGCACGGAACAGCGCCAGCCAGCCGCTGTATGGAACAGCGCCAGCCGGCCGCTGCATGGAACAGCGGCAGCCGCCCGCTGCACGGAACAGCGCCAGCCAGCCGCAGCACGGAACAGCGCCAGTCGCGTTGCCCACTACACGGAACACCACCAGCCGGCCGGCCGCAGAAACGCCGCTGGCCACCCGCTGTTGACTCATTGGGACAGGGGGCAGAATGAGAGGACTTATTTCGCTACCGCAAAGGATCATGCCTGACCGGCTTTTGTGGGAACACGGCCAAATGAGGCAGACCTGAGATTCTGCGCCGAGAAGAAGCAAGTCAGTTTCAGGTGCTTGTTACCTTACCCGCACGTATACCGCTTAACATCGCATGCAATATTTAAGCCAGTTTATGAATGTGGCAAGAGCTACGGCACCTCACCGCGAAGAAGGACAAAGTAACAGTTGCCACATAACAGCCGCAATATACCGGTTGCCCAGCCTGCGGTCCGGCCACTCGATTGCATCAGTTGACTAACGACCGGTGGTAAAAGAGGCCCTCGTGGCGGCCATATCACGCGAGCAAAGATCGCCACTTCAGCCGACCTGGGATCTCCAGCTCCGCAAAACGAGCCATGTCTGACTTCAAGCCTAAGTCGGGGGCGAGGTGTCTGCAATAGGTGCCTGCTTGAAATAGCTCAGAACATGGCGGCAGATCCAGAGCACGAGTGATGGACCATCCGGCGCAGCGTGCATTGGGTGTGGCATACCGCGCCCTCACCCCATAGGCAGCATGCGCGGCATAGCTGCATTTTTCAAGGTAATATTGGTGGTCCTGCGAACAACATGCGACTCCCAAAAACGTGGCAGGTCTAGCAGTACTTCTTAGTAGAGGCATTGGTTCTCTCGGCTCTCTCTCTTAAACTGTACAACACAACAAAGAAAAAAATGGAACAAACCACTGGGTTTGACTTTTGACTCCATTACAGCACGCAAGTCAAAAGTTTGCGACGCTTCGCCAAATTAACCCGGAAAGTTACGAATGATTGGTTACAACTAATTAGCTTTGAAATGTTCGCTACGCAATATTTGTCACGGCTGATTGGTTACAAACAATTAATTACAAATGATTGGTTACAACTTAGCCTAAAGTTAGTGGTTACAAATAATCGCACTCGTTTGGTGCACTCCAGCCAACGCAAAGTAGCCCATAAAATAGCCTGTAACTATGAGGACTATGAGGACCGTACGATAAGACCACAGCAAATACCGATGCCTTCCCAGGTTTTTGAGATCACACAACATTCTGTCACGAGAAGACTGAGCACAACCGTCGTCTTGGGGAAGATAAGTTGGGGAAGTATGGCTGAAGCTCTCTGGGTGTTAAGAACAGGGTCAATCAGCAATATTTAGGTAGCACAGCATAGGGACATCATTGTAAGGAAAATTCATGCAACACCAAGCTGAAGCAATAATGGCTTCGACGTCTGAAATCGCTCTCCATGTCTTTTCACATCGCCGGCTCGACGTTCGAATCGTTCCGTTCTGCTTTCTGAGCGTCTTCTCCAGACGAGCACCATCAGAGTCTTAAACAGTTTCCTGGTCGAACGCAAATAAGAAAATAACCTTCTATTTGAAGCGCCCTAGTGCACTAGCCCAGATCCGAGTGTAACATACCTGTGCGGTGTCAGCAGATAGCTTTCCGTTCCCGCTCCCCAACCGTCTGCCGCGTCCCAGCGCGCGGGCCCAGCACCGGCAGTCGGCAGTCCTCACCAGTCGCCCCGACCTGGGCCGCACAGCAGCCCTCCCAGCCACCCCTGCCCCAGGACATGGCCCAGAACCAGCAGTCGAACCCAGGGCCGCACAGCAGCCCTCCCCAGCCGCCCCCACGAGGCCTGCACCGGTCACCTGTTTGCCGACGTCGCGGTACTCGACGGTGGCGCCCAGCTTCTTGAGCCGGTCGCCGACCCAGTGTACCATGCGCACGATCTCCTGGCGCGTCTCTGGCCAGGCTGACACAGACTTGATCTCCACCGCCTCGCGCAGAAGGTCGATGTAGTGCGACTGGTGGTCGTCCACGTACCTGCGACCGCGTCGGCAGTTGTGAACATGTTGCTTAAATAACAGCAGGCTCTAAAGGTTCCCTCCAGTAGACTGAAGTGGCCCACAAACAGAGGGCATTGTTCACTGAAAGCTTACTTAGCTAGAAAAGACCTCTCCAATCCTCAAGTTGTAAAAGCATAAAATGCCTGTGAAGGTTTGTCTGTCCAGTACACTGAGTTCACTATGGCTATGGTCTTCCTTTTTGTTTGCATATTATTCATTAAAAAAGCAAAATAGGTTGAAACATACATCACTTATTATCTCCTGATAGACAAATGCCTCAATTTGCTCCTTTTCCTGTTATCACTGCACAAACTTCTTTTGTAAGTGCTGAAATGACAAACCAGGACTATCTAGCAATTTACTCACTGAGGTCCTTACAGCCAATTCATAATCATCTAAAAAATAAAATCAAGCTATGCCACTATAGCTGTAAAAAATAGGACTGGACCTCTTATATAATCACACATTACCTATGAACAGGCTATCAATTTGCTGCAGAAAGCTCACATTTCCAGTTCTAACACTGTAAGTACTACTCTCTGGTTGGCAGCATGCTCGAAGCTGGTACTAAGTTTGTGTGCAGCCCAGTGAAGATTGCACTGCAGGTATGTCACTTAAAATTTAGTACCTTGACAATTTGATGCTCCTATTCATGACCTGAAATTTAAATTTATTGGTGAGGTAGATCAACATGTATATATCATGATATTAAATAAGGATACAAATTTACAACTCATTGGTGTTGATCATAACAACTCAGACAAGCAGGGTACTAAAATTTAGAGCCAAAATCAACACAAATTGTGATGATTTTTATCAGTGTTGCTCAAGCCTGCCATGGTGCACCTGATAACATAATATGTCTGTGCTATCTATATATGAGCAGACTGAACTGTTTATGTGTATAAGCACCAGGAACCACCCAGACTGCAAGCAATGCTTACCACCAATGAACACAAGTGGTAATGCAAATATGGCCTGACACCAGATATGAAGCATTGAGAAAAGCAGGAAGGTATGTACCTTCCTAGCTGGAGTAGGGAGGGCAGCACATATTAGGTAGGAAAAGAAGGACACCACAATTTTTCCAAGACACACCCTAGTGCTAGAGGCATTTGTGTCTGAGTTATTGTGGGGGGGAGGCGGACTAGGCAGTGCACAGCTAATGGCTCAGTAGATGTGGAGTATGACCTAAGCAAGACCAGACTGAAAAACATGTGTTATTCTGAACATTTCCTGTATGGCAGCAAGATTACTGGCCACAATTTCTGGGCATGTATGTCCTAAATCTGAGTACTTGGTGTTTGGTGCATGGTCAGCATCAATTTCACCACACAGACAGTGTTTCACTAAATTGTGACATAGCAAACATGAATCG